TTACTGTTAAAGATGGTGTAGCAAAAAGGTTGGACAGTCCGGTTCTTGAAAAATTGCATTGACTTACACTTCTTGACGTTCAATTCCAAAAAACTGTTCCTGCACCCTGGAATAAGCCGGTCCAAATCCGCTTGAAGGTTGACATGTGGACTCGCTTTCGAAAAAAGTTTGAGATCATCGCCGTACAGAAGAAACTGAGCGTTGTGAGTTAATTGAAGTATTTCTGCTTTTTGGTCATTTATTTTAGCTGGACGTTGCAAGCGATGTTTTCAAAATCTTGCGTTCTTCTGTTAATCCTCTTAATGTGATCAAATTTAACTTTATTTTCAGCAGAGAACTTATCAATTTTAACTTGAAGCTCATGTGGTGTCCTTGAAGCATTTGTCTTCCAGCTCCTCCAACCTTTTATCCTTTTCAGCAGAGTCTTGTTAGTCCTGTTTTTTTTTCTCGAAATTTTCCACGAATATTTTATACTTTGTTAAATGGCCGATATGTTCCTTTGAAGATATTTTGCAACCGTGGCAGAAAAAAATCAAATTTATTTGGGCTAGTGAGACAGCATGATCCTCTGTGGTTGTTTTTTAAGCATAATAATTATTATTATTTAAGTTGATACGATTTGTCAATGAAAAATGTTTCCTGGACAATAAAGTACTTTTTGATTTGATTTGTATTATGAAGTTGAAGAAGCCAGAGCAGTTCAGGAAGTCCCATTTAGAACTTATTAGATTAGAGCAAAATAGTTCTCGATTTATTCAATTGGAAAAGCTTAAAAATATAATAGATAACTAGTTTTCTATTAAAGAAATTTGAAATAAAGCGATGAAAATCCCATTCCAGGCATTCTTAAACTAGCATTAAAGAAGCATGAAAGATCTATTACCGGCTCTCCTATAACACTGAAATTCGAACTTGAGGAAAACCACCTATTTAAAATATTATTTCTCCAAATATTAACTTTTTAAAAACGTTCTCTGAATAAAAGTAAATGTTGCAACCATATAATGCGCCGTCAAGTAGGGGCGATCTTTTAGATGCACCACAGAAAAAGCGTACGAAGGGTAGGTAGAAGAAAGAAGCGACTAGACTAGAGAAGAAGCGGGACTCTGGACTGGTCCCTTAGACCCCGTCTGTCGGCCATTGTTCAATATTCAATTTTTATTTATTTTTTGTATTAAACTGATTGTTCAATCCAATTTGTGATTATTGTGTGTGTCAAGGAGCGATCACAGGTCAGTTGAATAATTTTATTTTGTTTTTGAGAGTTCAATTTATACAAGTCTTATTTTTTCCCCATTTTTATGTTTTTTTGTTGGTTTATAACAGTTTTTTATAACATGTGCATTGTTTATGTATTTAACAAAAATTGTTTCATGCTGTGAACAACACAGATAGAGTAAATTTAAAAAACCCAAAGAAATTATGTGCTGTTTTTTTGTGCTAGGATTTTGATTTTTGGATTTAGAGCGTGCATTAGGGCCTTGTTGAATTTACTAACATTTTCCTACCCTGACGAGAGAATATCCTAGCAAATTGGAAAAATCAAACTAGAGATATTCGCTCAAAAACAAAACAACTATAGCTGAGTAGCTTTCCGTATGGGACCTCAGTACCTGCTGGGAAACTGGCCAACTAACAAAAAAACTCTTCAGTATTGAATATAGGTAGTGTTGATTGAATGTAGTGTGTGTAATCAACATTTTAGCACAAGAATAGGGGTGGTACCTGATTTCAACTTTTATTGAATCAATGACTCACAATTATTATTAAAATGACACAGTATGTTTCGATTTTTAAGGAATGTTAGATCGAGGGTTTCTCTGCCGTGCTCTTTCCCCTCGTTAGTTCCAGGATGACAACGGTACGATTTACTTTAATAATAGACGTTTCACAAATTTTTCGTTTCTTTTACATATTACAGCTTCCCTTAAATTTCCCAAATATTCGCTACATCGGGCGCATGTCCAGTAAGTAAAATTGAGTAAGTTTCCACAACGTAGGTCCTATTTATTTTTTATTTCATTTTTCAGAAGATTTGTTGTTCAAAAGGTAATAAAAATTCACACCGTTCAATCTTACTAAACTAACCCGGGTATGTTATACTACAGTGTAGTTAGAATTAAAGAAAGATTCGTTAGTGTTAAGCCAATGTTCGGTAAAAAGGACAAAGTTCGTTCAATCTTACTGAACGAACCCGGGTATGTTATACTACAAGCTAAAGAAGTACCTATGAAGCTCCTATTCCTGAATCCACTGGAGCGATGTAAAAATATAAATTTTTCGGGTCTACAGAATTCAACTTTATGAAAAATACAAAACAAAATATTCTGAAGCTGTGTACTTCTAAAGTTTCAGAAAGATTAATGCATAAAAGACTTTTATTATTTTTAGAAAAACAAGATGGATTTTGTAATATAAAGATACAGAAACTGATATACAGTTATAATTGCAAATATTCAGTTAAATATTGCCCATCAGAATAAAAAATGATGTATTTTATCTTTAGACTTATGCAAAGCATATAATTTCTCTGTAATCAACTCAAGTAAGTTCTTCTTCTTCAAGTACCATGTTCTCTTCGAACGTTGGCTATCATCAGCGCAAATTACATATGTATATCTTATCTCAGCGGTCTAAAATCTTCAATTGAAACTACCAAATAATTCGAAATTCATGACGCGATTGAAAACGTGTTTCTCTGGGTCGTGACGTCACAAGGCAGTAATAACCGGTTGACGCGTGTCGCGCCGCCGTCACGCCATGTGCTGCTGGTGTCGCCATTGTCAAATCCATCGTAAACGGGCTCTAAGGTGAACGGCATACATAACAACATCTGAATCTACCTGCTTGAACCTCGAAGTGCTCGTCACTGTCAACGGAATTTTGTTGCCGAGTGACGCCACACTTTTTGGCGCGCTAATCGGTCGTTTCAAATGGCGATATTTGGAGCGATCGATCAAAAGCCTTCTGATAATCTATGAAACAGGCATATACTGGCACCGACGCATCCCTAGAACGTTGAACCAAGACCTGACCACCAAATAAAGCCTCTCTAGTATACCAAACCGTCCACGAAATCCAAACTATATATCTCCTATGAACGATTCGCACTCTCTGCATATTCTTCTATGCCTAATCTTTAAAACAAATTCAGCATATGACTCATTTGGCTGATAAAACGGTGATTACTACACTTTGCTGAGTGCTTTTTAGGCAGTGTAGTGTAACAAATGTTGATTTCATCCAGTCGACTGGAATTTTACCGCTACAATAAATCAAGTTAAATAGTTTGACCAGCATATTCAACGAATCTTTGTTCTTTAGAAGTTTTAAAACTTCCATGTAAGTATACTTCGTCTTGTCCTTCCGCTTTTCTGGTTTTAGCCAAAGATATTGCATGCTGAAATTCTTCTTTTGTAATATCTATGGCTTGGTTTGAGAATTTCCCCGGATGTTCGGATTGATTATCGCTAAAAAGATTTTCTATGTAGTTAGTTACACCATTCTTGTAATATTTCTTTGGTGTATCAGGTATAATTTTGCGTTGGTTGTCCACAAGGATTCCTGCTTGTTTTTTATTAAATAATCCGGCCACTTCCTTATGTACTTGTGCAAATTAAACGTGTCATGTTTAGCATCAAGATCCTCCATTTCTTGACATTGTTGTGTGTTATCCATTCTTGTTTTGTCATTGTCATCAAGTAAGTTGGTAGGGGAATAAAATGTTGAGTGTCAAAAAAACTCAATTTTGATGCTAGATGAGGAGCTGAAACTGAACTAGAAACCCAGAAAAATCCAATCCCCGACTATTCTAGAGGAAATTTGAAGTGAAAAGCATGAAAATCCTATTTCAGGATGTTACTTAACCCTGATTTCTTTTCATTCAAGAATTAAGTTTTCTTGGAGCGGTGATTAATGAAAACCTCATATCTCATCATTGGAGGGTCAAATTTCACATACAAGAAAAGGTCTGAAATCCTATTCCAGGGTCTACTATACCCAAAATTTGAACTAGTAGTCAAGTATAAAACCCCAATTTTTAAACAATCTACACTAAAATTTGAGTCGGAGCAATTTACCTACATGATTAATAATAATTGTTGAATCTCACAAAACTGAAATTCAACTAGAATAACTAAGAAATGTTATAACCGAAAGCTGGAATTTCAACTAGAGAAGCATAAAACTTCTATAAGAACTAATATTGGAGGTTCCAGGACTCAAGACACAAAACTCAAAAATCTAAATACTCAAATAGTTCAAATTTTCATTATTATCGGTTCTTGATTCGTCTGATTGTACTTCTGAGTACGAAAAAGCGCCAAAAACTGTTTCAAAAAGCTCCAAACATTAAATATAATCAAGAGCAGATAGATAGTCGAACTTTTGATTATTATCGGCTCTTGATATAACATATAACATCTCTTTTAGAATATTGCTATTATAAATTCCGCCATTTTTGTCTCGATGATTCTCGACTTTGAACCAAGAAGAAGCATGCGAAAATCCTATTCCAAGACTTGACCTGAGTAATTTTTGAGCGTCACAGAACTGAAATTCAACTAAAGTAACTTAAAATTGATAAAACTGACTGTCCAAAGTAAAGTTTCTAAAGAATTTGAGATAATTTGAAAATTTGGGTATAACTAAAAAGATTGTCAAGAAACAATACTGAAAATTGTAAGCTTTAACGTTTCAAAAGCTCATCATTTACAAGGAATTCTAGAAACACAAAATTAAAAACTGAAAACTTTAAAAACTTCGATGACTTTGAAACACGTGATTTTAAGACTAAAATATTCAAATTTCAAAGTCGCAAAACACTTTGAAGGAGATGAGTCTTGAAGGACTTTGAAGAATATGAGGACTTTAATTTAAGGGTTTTGAAAGGGTCACTGTCTAATCCTGAGGCTTATGATGAAAGACACAAAGACATTAATTCAATTTCTAAGACGCAAAATTATAGGTTTTGAAGATAATATAAAATGACTAAATAATACCTGGAAAGACTCGACACACATCGGTTTGGACGGCACCAAATTGACGATGGCGGCGTCGCCCGATTTGATGGCTTTCGGATTCTCTTCGGTGGTTTTTCCGGTACGACGGTCGCACTTTTCCTTGATTTCGGCAAATTTGCACGCGATATGAGCGGTGTGACAGTCCAGTACCGGGGTGTAGCCGTTGGCGATCTGGCCTGGATGATTCAAGACAATCACCTGGAATAAAGAGTCAAAATTTGTTGTAAAACAATCAGGAATTAAGCTTGAATTTAGTAGAAAATTGAGTTTTATAGGCTAAAAATTCCCATACCTGAGCAATAAAATCAGCAGCACCTCTAGGAGGAGAATTCTTAGAATCACCAGCCACAAATCCACGACGCAATTCCTTGACAGACACATTCTTAACATTGAAACCGACATTGTCACCAGGCACGGCTTCCTGCAAAGCTTCATGATGCATCTCCACAGACTTGACTTCAGTAGTCAACCCAACTGGAGCAAAAGTGACCACCATTCCGGGCTTGAGAATCCCAGTTTCGACACGACCAACAGGCACAGTCCCAATACCTCCAATCTTGTAAACGTCCTGCAAAGGCAAACGTAAAGCCTTCTCGGTGGGCCTGGAAGGCGGCAAAATAGCGTCGAGAGCTTCGATGAGGCACTTGCCCTCAGCTTTGCCTTCTTTACGTTCGATCGCCCATCCTTTGAACCAGGGCATCTTGTCGCTGGGTTCGAGCATGTTGTCGCCGTGCCAGCCGGAAATCGGCACGAACGGCACGGCGGCCGGATTGTAGCCGATTTTCTTGATGTAGGACGAAACTTCTTTTTTGATTTCTTCGAAACGGGCTTCGGAGTAGGGCGGTTCGGTGTTGTCCATCTTGTTAACACCGACAACTAGTTGTTTAACGCCTAGAAAAGAAGAGCAAGACATAGAAACGTATTCATCAAAGAGAGAGAAGTATCTAAGTCAATGAGTATACAAAAATTCTTACCCAAAGTGAATGCCAACAAAGCATGCTCCCTAGTCTGTCCATTTTTCGAAATGCCAGCCTCAAACTCTCCAGTACCGGCAGCAACAATCAACACAGCACAATCAGCCTGGGAAGTACCAGTAATCATGTTCTTGATAAAATCCCTATGGCCGGGAGCGTCAATGATGGTGACGTAGTACTTAGCAGTTTCGAACTTCCACAGGGCGATGTCGATGGTGATACCGCGTTCTCTTTCGGCTTTAAGTTTGTCCAGGACCCAGGCGTACTTGAACGAACCTTTGCCCATTTCTTGGGCTTCCTTTTCGAACTTTTCGATCGTACGTTTGTCGATGCCGCCGCATTTGTAGATCAAGTGGCCGGTGGACGTTGATTTGCCCGAGTCTACGTGGCCGATTACGACGATGTTGATATGGATCTTCTCTTTACCCATTTTCGGATTAGGAACTTATAGTTTTAAGCAAAACCTGGAACAAATTATTAAACTGTAATTTTTCAGTAGCTGAAGAATCCCTCGGAAGTTACTTTTACTTGAAATCTTTATTTTATTATGTAGAAAAAAATATAATATTGACTTGTGAGTTGACTTGGCTTGTATTTAAGCTCATTCCTGGTATAAAATAACTTCAGTACAATATCTTCAACTAAAAAGGCTTGCAAATATTATGATAAAAATTATTGTTGTTGCTGATTCAGACATTCATTTGGTATCAGTGTGAGTATAAAAATTTGCAATATGAAGTTGAATATCCTCATTCATCATTTTAACGCTCATGACGATAAGAAACACAGGCACTACACATTAGGTGCATTATAATATGTAAATAGGTATTATATTTCAATGGCATATTTCGGCATTTTAAACTGGGTTGATTAGTTTCAAGGCTGTGGCAAAAATCAAAGCTAAAATTAATGTTTTTTTTTAAAACTTGAAGCAAATTTTTATGGAAATCGACGAATTTTCCCTAAGCCAAGGTTTACCATTTTAAAATAAATCCAGAATTGTTCGTGATTTATGTTCAAGAACCATTTTTCCTTATTTTGTATTCATGCTGGAAAAAATCCTGAGCTATACAGAATGCCAAACATGGGTCTTTTTGAAATTGAAACTGTACGTCATTGTACGAAGAGTAAGCCGGAGAACTGTTGTAATTCGGCAATAAGACAATGACAATACAAAAACAATCTTATATTTTATATTTTTTTTCAGTTTCAGTGTGAATTGATTTTGCAACATTTCGGTTTTTTCCTTACAATATCTCCCGGAGTCTTCGGAATGTTTCGAATTTCGGAGCGGCATTTTGTTAAGCAAGAAATTGTGCAGCTTTGGCCTCATTCAACCGAACTCATATCTCTTACCGTTTTTTATGCGTTTCCTATGAAGACAATCAAATTTTAGTCAACCTGTATTATGTTTGTCTGGCTGAGGGTTATAACTGTCGAAACTATCTGGCTACTGAGGAAACATCTTTTAATAGCTACCCAAGCTGTTATAAAATAACGTACCTCTAGCAGTCACGGGCTCTTATAGGTATTCTAAAAGATTCTGTAACATCATCAAATTTGGTGGAAATATTATTGGGGGTGATATACGTCCCATACTGAAAAATCACTTGTCCAGGGAAGGGTTTAAGGAGGTAGATTCCGGCCCAAAAGTGTGAATGAAATCAGATAACGAAAATTTTGTTTTAGCACCACCAAAGTTGGAGGAAATATTGCTTGAGCAGATACTCTGTTGATCCTGAAAAATGCTTCGGAGTATCAGATCGATTTCAAACTTCCAGGATTTATTAACCAGGATGTTTTCATCAAAGAAGGCAAATTTGAAGTCAATTTGAAGCTCAGAAATAAAATTATGAGGTTTTTCCAATCTTGATACCCAATTTCATGTTATTATAATATCATCTTTGAAAAATCCTGAAAAATACTTGGAAGTATCAGATCGATTTGAAACTCTCGGGATGATGCATTAACTAGAATATTTGCCCCAAACAAAGCAAATTTGAAGTTAATTTGAGACTCAGATACAAAATTATTGGTTTTTTTTTCAACTTGATGACAAAAAAAAATTGTAAAATTCATGTGTCAACCTCAGCCCGGTAGACGAGCGGACCGAGCGTCGCAGTCATTTACCCATTAAATCTACCCATTAGTTCAATAACTCAATTCAGAATTTTCACTCATCAATTCAAAAACTCACTAATTTTCAGTTCAAAATCTTTACTTGTTAGTTCAAAAACTTCTCATTTCTATATCAGAACGACTCATTAATAGACTGTGAGATAGGGGCTGTTTAGTGGAGTCATTTTTTTTTTGTCTGGCATTTTGAGGGCTGAATGTGGCTACTAAGCTGATGAGAATATGGGTGATTTTAATGCCTGCCTCCCGTTCGAAAATTTGCAGAAGAAAAAAATTGATTTACATGGAGAATTTTTTTTTAATGAGCTCAAATTTTCTAGCTTTTAAATAAAAGATTGACATTGATAAATAATTCACCCATGAAAAATATCAGATGCTTTTCAATAGCTGAAAAAATGGGGATGGGTGTCAACTTCCAAGAGAAAAGAAAATAACCTTCCGCGTTTACTTTTTGTCTGGCAATCGAGAGAATGAAAGGTTTTGTTGTGAAAATAACGCTGAAAAATCGCCAGACGGTAATCACAGTTCGAAATCGAGTTTTCCGGCGAAACATTCTGTGGACATTTCGAACAGAAGGCAGGCATTAAAGCCACTTATATTCTCATCAGCTAACTAGTCACATTCATCCCTCAAGATGCCAGACAAAAAAAAAATGACTCCACTAAACAGACCCTATCTCAGGGTCTATAATGAATTAATTGTAAATGAGTAAAACCAATCAGAACTCAGTTTGCGCATGAAATGTACTTTTTACTTATTAGTCCAAAATTTCATTCATTTTCAATGGAATTCTAATACGATTCTGTAGAATTCCAGTAGGATTTCGCGAGATTCCGTTAAAAGTGGGATTCTGCTGTACAGGGTGCTGCAATTTGGAGTGTTTCAACAGGAAAAACCGAGGGAAAAACATACTTCCAGACCAGATAGAGGAAAATTGACTTAGGCGTCATGGGATCGATTTTTGAGAAACGTCAATTGTCAAAAACCGTATCACGATATCTTCAATGGTACCTTTGATACAGGGCGATTTTCGATTTTTCCCTATTATGAAAAAAGGCTATAAGTTTTTTATTTATCAATTTTTTTTATTTCTGTAAAAACATTATGGAGACACTTTTTTGAGCACAATCCAGTGGCGGACTAAGTTTTTTTCTATATCGTTCCGATTTCGAGATATCGACCAAATTCCGATATATTCAAATGAAACATCCTATATATTAATAACTCATTGGATAGCTCTGTTTTTGCTGATTTCAATGATATAAAGTTCGATAGGTTTATCTCTAACAGTTTTCGAGAAAAAAAATTATATCTGTTTTTGTCGTAAGGACCAATGTGTTAGAAAAGGATTTTATATGTGTAAGGAAAATGAGGAAGGTCTCTTTCTAACACATTGTTTCTTATGACTGAAACAGATATAGTTTTTTTTCTCGAAAACTGTTAGAGATAAACCTATCAAAGTTTATATCGTTGAAATCAGCAAAAACAGAGCTATCCAATGAGCTATTAATATACAGGGTGTCCCAAAAAGATACCGACAAACTTTAAGGGGTAGTAGGGGACATCAAAACAAGCATTTTTGTTTATATAAACATATGTCCGCAAATGAGCCATTTGGGCTGTAGAGCAAAAAAACTGTCTGGCATCTAGTTTTATTCTTCGCAATAATTAAATCACTATTTACTTATTAATTTTGCTTTAATAGCAAATAAATTATGGTTTACAATAATTATTCAACTCGCGAACTGTTTGGAATATTCCGGGAATAGCTTCTACATGGGTACAACTCGCCAGTTTCCTTGCTATCAGATCTTCCCCATTACGAACAGGTGTTTCGTAGACTAAACTTTTCATTCAATGACCCGACGGTGTAATCTTTGCATTGAAGTAAATGGTCAACATTTTGAACAATTATTCTAAACCATAATTTATTTGATAACTAGCTAATGACCCGCTGCGTTGCCAGCGTGTAAATACATTTTGAAATAATACACTTCTTTTCAAATTTTGTTGTTGATTTTCAATAGTAATATAACTAGTGCAATGGAAATTATTGATAATTTTTGGGAAATTTGCCCGAATGCATTTTTAGTTGAAAAAGTAAAAAACGCATGAGTGCAAATTTGTCGAAAATTAGAAATATATTTCCATTGCACGAGTTGTATTAAATGAGAGAATTTCATAAATCAAAAATTGAAATTTTTTGTCAAAAAATAACAAAACACCAGTTTTCGCACCAGTTAGTATGCAATTATCTGATAATTTGCACTAGTGCAAATTATCGCCTAATTACAATCTGATTGGTTCAAATCAACAATCAAAACATGTCAATTTATTGTTGGAATACCAGTTTTGACAGATGTAAGAAATTCTCTATTTAATTTTTTTTTTTAATCCGATATCAGAGTCGCTTGCCAGTGAGTTCAGTGACGCATTTTAAGCACTCCAGAGCTGCTCTAGAGCGCCCCGGGCTGTTTATAGGCGTTCCAGTGTATCAGAGTTTTACGCAACCGAACTTTTTTTTTCGGGATAAAAAATAGCCTATATCACTTTCCTCTATAGCCGATTCGATTGACCGGATTAGATCGATCTGGTTCAATTTAAATGAACCACACTGTGTTCGATTCAAACTGGATCAGTGCACCCTCATCAACAAAAAAATGATCTAGATCAGAAGAAGTTCACTTAAATTGAACCCAAATCGATCTAATCTGGGTCAATCGAATTCACCTTATATAGAGATACGTGGTATTAATTCAAGATCGGTCCAGCCCAATGAATTATAGCTAAAAACTGGAATGCGCATGAAAGACAGATGCCACAAGGGGGAATGTTGTTTTTTTCTGTTGCTCGCTGTCATATTATGACGTTTTCGAAAGTTTTGTCATATTTCCCTTCACAGGTTTCATCGATTGGAATACGTGTGGGAAGCAATTTTCGCCATTTAACATAATGAGTGCGACAAAAACAGGTATCCCCTCCGCAGCAGCTGCACTAGGCTTCACGTTCGTCCTTATGTGTTAGCATTCCAGTTTTTGGTTATAGTTTCATTGGTCCAGCCGTTCTTGAATTCAAAAAATAATAAAGTTACGTCGGTTGAATGCAAGCCTAAATAAATGAAATATGTCAACGTTATTTCATGCTGTCAAAAAAAGTTGGGTTATGTTGTTATGTAATGTGAATGAGTTTGTTTACAACAATGGTTTACAATTAAATTAATAATTAATTCCTAATTAATTTCTTTTTCCGAGATGCGTAACCTATCCACAAACCTTCCTTGGGATGGCCATAACA